TTGAAATGTCGGCGTACTGCACGTCTCACTTTTCTGACTGGTTTCTTCATAAAGCGCCTCCAACGGCGTTTTGATTTGCGATAGGCCATAAAAGCGGCTTCCGCTCTTTGTTGTTCAGAAAGGTGAGTGTCATCCGCTGGATAGTCATTACCAGCAGAGACTATGCCATTGTGCTCATCGTCAGATGAGGTGTCTGTGTCAGTGCCAGATTCAAACGGTGAGGGTGGCTGAGACCCTTGAGCGGATGACTCCGCTTGGCCCCAGAGGGTTGTGCCCGAGGGCGGGCTTGCAGTGTAGGCGGCGCCTGGCGAGTAGTTCGACCAGGCGTTCGCCTCAGCTGCCTCTGCCGATGCCTGGCCGGTCTGCCCTAAGAAGGCAGTGGCCTCGTTGGGCATATCGGCTGGGTCAGCCCAGGGACTTGGCTCGCCAGGACCAGCGGGTGACCCCGCAGTCGTGGCGTAGACACCTGCATGTGAGTGGTGCCCTGTGAAGATACCCGCAATGTTGCCAGGAGAGCGCTCGGCAACATGTCCGTAGTTCCTCATCCTGGTCAGCAGCCTGTCATAGTCTGCTTGTGTTCTGGGCATCTGATGATTAAAAGGCTCCAGCAGGTGTTGGGCTCGTGACGCGCCAACGCCTAACGCTCTGAAAAGAATCAGCGTTAGGATCTGAAAGTTGGGGATGACAAAGCCAACAGAGTTAGCCTCGTCACGGGCCATCTCGAATCGAGCTAATACTGAGTCGATTCGCTCGCCCCTTTCGACGCGGAAGTCGATAAGGGCAGTGCCAGAGTTGAGCTGGCGCTCATCTTCCAGATTTTCAAATTTGGTGCTCAGTAGGTACAGTATATATGTGACTGCATCCGTTGGCTGTCCATTGACAGTTACACCATAGTTGATGATCTGGGAGGGGACCTGCATGGCGATACGACGAGCAAGACCTTGAAGGCCTCGTTGTAGTGCTGCAGCTTGTTGTGGTGGCGTCATATTGCCGCTCGTTACGTTTATCCATGCATGTACTTCGCGAACGTATTCGCGAAAAGGCGTAGTACCGGCAGGGTCCCATGAAGGGCCAGTAGTACGCGTGTCGTCCATCCCCTGCCGCATGTATCCCACAGCACATCCCATTATTACCCACAGAATGCCGAAGATAGTTATCTTAATCCAGTGCATGTGCATTTCGGCTTCGGTGATTGGTTTAGGCTGTGGTTTGTCAGGCTCTGGCGTAGTAGCCGTGAGGCGCCTGACTGGCACGGGATGCAGGTGGCCCCGCTGCGGGTAGCCCCGCAGGGTGACCACGTTCTCGATCGAGTTGCCGATTGGCAGCTGGTGGAAGTCGAGAGTGAAGTAGCGCAGTGAAGTAGGAGAGAGCGTCTCGAGTTCGCGGGTTGCCCCGCTAGCTCGATCGCGGACTGGCTCCGCTCCTCGCAGAGCCGGCGCAACATGGTATTCCACCGTAGTAGTAGTCCACCAAGTTGTGCAGTGGATTACAGGAATCAGAGCGAGAGCCAGCCACACGAGAGTGTAGCCAGCTCCGCTACCAAGTCGAAAACAAGCTGGTAAGCTTAGGTATGTGTTACGCTTTAAGCGCTGCCATATCCCAGGCTTTGGCTCATATCGCATGAGCAAGAGAGCAAGACGAAGCATGGGATCTGGAGTAAAGGATAGAAGAGGCATCTTCAATGGAAAAGGTATTTTCCGATCTCAGATACCAGTCGTGCGCCTCGGTGAGGCACAGTCATATATTTGGCCGGGCCCGGCTTGAGCCAGGCACGGCAGCGGTACATGCTCGATTTATACCTCGCCTTTAACCTTCTCCGTTTAAAGTCACACACCAGGCGACTGGGGGCCAACCCGAGTCCATGACAACACCCCCCCACCATCCCATTTTAAAAAAACAATACAAACACACACTCTACCTCCAAATTCGGAACATGCGCAGCCAACCCGATGCGGCCCTCCCCCACCATCCCTCTCAAAAAACAATACAGAGTCCACTTGGCGGCGGCGGCGGCGGCTGCGGCGGCTGCGGCGGCGGCTGCGGCGGCTGCGGCGGCTGCGGCTGCGGCGGCGGCGGCGGCTGCGGCGGCTGCGGCGGCTGCGGCGGCGGCGCGGCTGCGCGGCTGCGGCTGCGGCGGCGCGGCGGCTGCGGCGGCCGGCGGCTGCGGCGGCTGCGGCGGCGGCGGCGGCGGCGGCTGCGGCGGCGGTTTGGCAGCGGCGCGGCGGCGGGGCGGCGGCGGCAGGCGGCGGGCGGCGGCGCGGCGGCGGCGGCGGCGGCGGGCAGCGGCGGCGGCGGCGGCGGCGGCGGCGGCAGAGGCGGCGGCGGCGGCGGCGGATTGGCCCCCAGTAGCTGCCCATCCAAAGACGACGAATATGCTGAGGTTCGGGCCAGACTCAGGTGCTACGTATGTGTTGGGAGGGCGGGTGGGAATGAGCGAGACGGCTTGCGGGCGGGGAGGGGGTCTTGACCCCTCCCCCTACCCCCTCCCCCTGGGTCTGGAGGGGGAGGGGGCGGCCAAGATGGCCTCCAAGATGGCTCAAAACAGCGCGAGGACGCTCAAGATGGCTTCCAACATACTCCAATTCCCCAGACCGCTCCAAGACGAGTCAAAATGGCCTCGGAGGCCTCACAGGGCGCCACAAGAGGCCAAAATCCGTCCAAAACCGAATATTCAAGGTGGTTGCATTCTCATATGCTCGCTCCTGATGGCCGTCCGAGGCCTCAAGATGGCTCCAAGATGGCCCAAGAGGTTTCCAAGAGGGGCCTCGGAACGCTCCAAGACCGCCCAAGGAGCCCCTAAAGCGCTCCGAGAGGGCGCCAAGAGGCGACGTCTGGGGTTCCAGCAGGGGGGGGGGCCTAGTAGGGAGCCATCACTTCTTTGATCGATGTCTTCCGAGATGATCCCAAGAAGGCCCCCAAGGCCCCCAAGAGGGCCGCAAGAAGGGAGCCCAAAGACCCCCCAAGAGCCCCCCAAGAGGCCCCCCAAGACGCCCGTAGAGGCCACCAAGAGCACCCCCCCAGGAGAAATCCCAAGCGGTTCCGAGTGGCATCCAAAAGGCGTCTAACCAACCAACCGAACCGACTAACCCAGCCATACAGGACAAGGTGATCCGCACTTCCGCATTCACGATCCATCGTACAAAATTGGTCCGCGATCCCGAGACCGAGATCTATGTTCACTTGTGGCCCCCGCGCCAGAAGTAGCGATCCATCGAGAAAAACTACGGCTCCGCTTTACGAGCCCCGCGCCCAATCTTCCTCATTACCAGTCAGCAACCCTGCCATCCAGCCAGCCAGTCAACCAGCCGACAACCTGCCGGCCAATCAACCACTCAACCAACCAACCCAACTCACCCAGCCATGCATGTCAATCATAAGGGGGGCTTGGCGGCAGGGGGCGAACCTCCTTTCAGATAACAGTTTCGCTAATGGTGCCAATGGGCACCCTTTGTGCCGGGGGTGTTTCCATGGGAGGTAGAATGGATTCCCTGTCCCTCGACCCTATAGTATCAACTAGTCAAGTTTTTCGGATGTCCCAGGGTTAAGCTACACGGTCTGGCAAGCACAAGGATCCAATAAAGCAAGGGATTGAACCCTGCTCAATTCGATCAAGCTTCAGCAATGATGACTCACGCTGTGTTGAGAAAGTCTCAGCACAACGATGGGCTACAGCTCACTCCATCGAGCTCTGCCTCGGTCGGTGTGACAATCTTCGGTCGCGGCTGCCACCACGACAGCACCACCAAGTGTACCGATCGTTGTCTACCTTGCGGCTAGCCACTGTTGGGGGCGAAGGCGTCGCAGTCGGGCCATCTGCTCCCGCCTGCCAGGCCACGCACCCTGCCGCGTGTTCTTGAGGTCCACCGGCCCCTTCTTCGCTATCCCTGGACCAGCTGATACATCGCAACGCATGATACCTCACTGGGCGGAAAAAAAAGACTGCAGAAACACAAACCTTCGGAGGCCCGCGCGGACTTCTTGAGTCGGCACTGAACCCCCATCCCTGGCGCGTGGAGCGCGCCAGGGGCGGCGCTGGAGGCGCCACCAGGGGTGGTCAGCGCCGATCCAAGACGTCTGCGCGGAGCTCTAAAAGTCTACGCGGATGCCATATGTCCTTCTTCGAGCCATTCCGTACAACAGTTCCCAACCATCCCGAGGCCCCCCCCAACGAGCGCAACGAGCGCCACGGTCAGGAGAGAGCTGAAAGGCTCCCTCTGACGGAACGCCCCCCCGGCCCCGAAGCTGCACGGGCCTCGGCCGCGCTGGGAGGGGGGCGCCGAGACCCCGGCGTGGCCTCGCCCGGACTCGCTCGGGCAGGCGCACGGGAACCAGGAAAGGCGGCACCGCCACTCAGGAAAGGCTAAGTCCAGACGGAGCGAGCCCAGACGGAGGCCGAGCACTCCGCGCGGACTGACTCCGCACGGACTTAGCATCCTATCAGGAAGGGCTATGTCCAGACGGAGTAAGCCCAGACGGAGGCCGAGCACTCTGTGCGGACTGACTCCGCACGGACTTGGCATCCTTCGGAGCACCACCACTAGCGTGAAGCGCCTGGGAGGCTCCTCCTGGTGTGGTCCCCCCCTGTAGCTCGAAACATCCGCTGCTTCTGGATGGAGGCAACTGGTCCTGAGGGACACAAGTCCTGGGCCCCTGGGGTCTTCTCCCAGGACCAGTTCCTCATCCTGAGCTGTTCTTTGACAGTGCTGGGGCCTGTGGAGAGCCCCAGGAGCCCGAAAACGGCTACAGAAAGGCAGGACCCGTTCCCCTCAGCACCCATTTCCTTCACGGCGACCGTCCCAAACTTTGGGAGGCCTCGTGGCCACCCTCGCCGGAGGTGCCTCCCCCTGCGGTGGTGTCGTCTCTCCTTCCTCCCAGAGTACTGGACGGGCCCTGCGTGGTGCGACGGCATTCCCGCGGTGCGCCGACGACGACGACGACGACGACGACGACGACGACGACGACGACGACGACGACGACGGGCGAGGAGAGGGCACGGGGACCTTCATGGGTGCCTTGACAAAGGGCTGCTGCGGCTGGGCAATGAAAGCGTTCTTCCAGATGCCTGGCAGTCGCGCGCGCGCTGCGCTGGCGACGTCGATGCCCCTGGCCCCAAACGGAGAGCGAAAGCGCACACCACCACCAGGCCGGAGTGGCTCCGCTCGAGCCCAGCCCCTGGTGCTTTTTACCGGTCCCCTGATCGGGCCAAGAGACAATATACACCATCGATGTGTATGTATGAGCACACATACATATAAATAGGTACGTGTGAATTAATATGAACACGTATGTACAGATATATATATATATATATATATATATATATATATATATATATATATACTAGAACCACGCGCGCGCTTCGCGCGCGCTTAGGTTCTGTCGAGTCACAGACCCAGGAATCGTTGTGAGAAGAAATTGGTGACGCGAAGCGTCGTGGGGGCGTCCTTGGACGTCTGGGGTCTCCTGGGGCCTCTTGAGGGGCCTCCTGGGGGCCTCCTGGCGGCCTCTTGGGGCGGAAGGCTCGAGCTTGCGGTTCGTGGTCCCCCTCTGGGCCCCCTCTTGGGCCCGTCTTGGGGCCCTCTTGGGCCATCTTGGGCGCCTCTTGGGCCGTCTTGGGGCCCTCTTGGGCTGTCCTGGGGCCCTCTTGGAAGCTTCTTGGGCCGTCTTGGGGCGGTCTTGGGCGCCTCTTGGGCCGTCCTGTAACGTCGGAAAGCCCAAAAGACAACTTTGTTGAACATGTACGTTTTACGAAGGGAATGGGCCAATTTTTGCGTCTAGGGGCCCTCTTGGGACGCATGTTGGAGGCTTCTTGGGGCCTCTTGGGGGCGTCCTTGGACGTCTGGGGTCTCCTGGGGCCTCTTGAGGGGCCTCCTGGGGGCCTCCTGGCGGCCTCTTGGGGCGGAAGGCTCGAGCTTGCGGTTCGTGGTCCCCCTCTGGGCCCCCTCTTGGGCCCGTCTTGGGGCCCTCTTGGGCCATCTTGGGCGCCTCTTGGGCCGTCTTGGGGCCCTCTTGGGCTGTCCTGGGGCCCTCTTGGAAGCTTCTTGGGCCGTCTTGGGGCGGTCTTGGGCGCCTCTTGGGCCGTCCTGTAACGTCGGAAAGCCCAAAAGACAACTTTGTTGAAAATGTACGTTTTACGAAGGGAATGGGCCAACTTTTGCGTCTAGGGGCCCTCTTGGGACGCATGTTGGAGGCTTCTTGGGGCGTCTTGGGGGCGTCCTTGGACGTCTGGGGTCTCCTGGGGCCTCTTGAGGGGCCTCCTGGGGGCCTCCTGGCGGCCTCTTGGGGCGGAAGGCTCGAGCTTGCGGTTCGTGGTCCCCCTCTGGGCCCCCTCTTGGGCCCGTCTTGGGGCCCTCTTGGGCCATCTTGGGCGCCTCTTGGGCCGTCTTGGGGCCCTCTTGGGCTGTCCTGGGGCCCTCTTGGAAGCTTCTTGGGCCGTCTTGGGGCGGTCTTGGGCGCCTCTTGGGCCGTCCTGTAACGTCGGAAAGCCCAAAAGACAACTTTGTTGAAAATGTACGTTTTACGAAGGGAATGGGCCAATTTTTGCGTCTAGGGGCCCTCTTGGGACGCATGTTGGAGGCTTCTTGGGGCGTCTTGGGGGCGTCCTTGGACGTCTGGGGTCTCCTGGGGCCTCTTGAGGGGCCTCCTGGGGGCCTCCTGGCGGCCTCTTGGGGCGGAAGGCTCGAGCTTGCGGTTCGTGGTCCCCTCTGGGCCCCCTCTTGGGCCCGTCTTGGGGCCCTCTTGGGCCATCTTGGGCGCCTCTTGGGCCGTCTTGGGGCCCTCTTGGGCTGTCCTGGGGGCTTCTTGGGCCGTCTTGGGGCGGTCTTGGGCGCCTTGTGGGCCGTCCTGTAACGTCGGAAAGCCCAAAAAGCAACTTTGTTGAAAAATGTATGTTTTACGAAGGGAATGGGCCAATTTTTGCGTCTAGGGGCCCTCTTGGGACGCATGTTGGAGGCTTCTTGGGGCCTCTTGGGGGCGTCCTTGGACGTCTGGAGGCCATCTTCAGCATCTCGGAGCCCTCTTGGAGGCCTCTTGGAAGTTTCTTGGGCCGTCTTGGGCGCTCCTGGGGCCGTCTTGTCTGACCGGGGAGGCCTCCGGTAAGCCCCGACGAGCCTCCGGGACCCCCGGGGCGCACATTTGTGGTCGGGGTCCCGGCCCCGGGCCCCCGGACCCGGTGCGCCGTTATATGTATATATACACATTAGTATAGCATCAGCATCAGATTCATAATCCGAATCATCATCATGATCGTCATCATCATCAACAGCATCAGCATCAGCATCACCACCACCATCACAATCACCATTTCCATCACCATCATCATCATCATCACCATCATCATCAGCAGCATTATCATAGCAGCACCAGCATCATCAGCCTCATCATCACCATCGTCGTCATCATATGCATCATTATCATCATCGTCATTGTCATCATCATGATACTTATCGTCCTCAACAGCATCACCACCTAGGTCATCATCAACATCGTCATCATCATCATCATCATCAGCATCATCATCATCATCAGCACCATCATTGTCATCACCATCAGCATCGTCGTCACCATCATCACCGACATCATCATGATCATAACCATCGGCATCATCATCATCATCATCACTATCACCATCATCATCATCATCATCAACAGCATCATCATCAGCATCAGCAGCACCAGCATCTTCAACCTCATCATCACCATCGTCATTATCATCTGCAACATTACCAACATCATCATCATCAGCATCATCATTGTCACCATCATAATAGTTAGCATCCTCAACAGCATCATCACAAAGGTCATCATCAACATCGTCATCATCATCAGCATCATCATCATTGTCATCACCTTCAGCATCGTCGTCACCATCATCATCGACATCATTATGATCTTAACCATCGACATCTAAGCATCATCAGCAGCATCATCATAATTTGCATCACTGTCAACATTTGCATCCGTATCATCATCCTTGTCCTCATCGTCATCACCGTCCGAATCCTCATCCCCATAATCATCCGCATCGTCGTCACCATCATCATCAACACCATCATCTTGTCCTCACGGAAACTCCGTGAAAGCGCCAAAACTTCAGACTGATCGGAAGGATGATAAAAGCTGGCATAACCACTCACTCAAAAAGCGAACGCATGCAACTCTGCGCGAAATGATGACGAACACTACAAAAATTGCCCAGCGCCCACGCCGAGACAGTACCTTTACCAGGTGGTAGACTGCTAACAGAATCGCCAACTCGTCACTGTGAATCCAAAAGCACCACGCTTCTCGTCGAGAAGGCGACCCCTCTCCAAATGCAGCTGTACGCAACGAGCTGCTCGGAGGCGGTCAACAGCCACTGCAAGGAAGGGTGCGGTCTTCTGGAATCCAATGTTGCACATGTGGTAAGCCCCACAATTCAATTCCCTTGGGCGCCAAATCATGGGGTCGCTACAGGCGGCCTTCACACTGCAAATGCTGAGAATCTGCACCGAGTGCCGGAACGCCGCGTCCAGAAACCTGCTGTGTTCAGCCCTGGGCGCGGTGCGGCCACACATCATTTCAGCGAGAACTTTGTTCTGTGACGAATCCGATTTGCCTCTCCGTCGAGGCCTCGGCTCCGGCCAAAGTCCTCTTGCATGGCATCTGGAAGCTGAAAACCATCGACGGTGTACTCGAGATACTTGCGTCTAACGGTTGGAACTTTGTCGGAATCCACTGCAGCGTCGCCCAAACCACAGCTGGCGATTCAGAATCAACAAGCCAGTCCAAGCTCTATTTCTCTGCCAATCGGCCGTTACAATGCGACTCGTGGCGGAGCCAATCCGCCTTACTACTACAAGCGTCACGGATGCATGGCCATCCATAACCAAATACATGCACGAATGGACCCACAAAGGAAGGCCCGAAGCCTTGCCTGGACTGGTTCACGTCCGTCTTGCGCCTGTTTGGTTCCATCACCATGGTGTCCCAGAAAGGGAGCGATCGGCCCGGATAGCGCCAGCGACTCTCGCGTCAGAGCGCTCCCTCCAAGCATGCACGAAAACGTAATGTAGAATCCGTTTGGGTAGGCTCTGAACCCCCGCGTAACCTGCTATCCTTCCCTTCCACTCAAGCCAATTGGCAGGAACGTCTCGCAATCGTATCTTCTTCCGAAAAATCTGCAACTCCCACTGTTTCGCCAAAATCAGAGTATCTCTGTTAATATAAAAAATGCCGTTGCCATATAGTGCGCTTGCCTGTGGTGCGGCCCTCCACGCGGCGCATCTCCTCAGCACCAGGAGCGAACTGCTAGCCAGCAAGCCGTGGCGCTTCCAGAAAGTCCGCAAACCCGCCGCAAGGCGGTGCTGTAACATGGCAGCGGCACCGCCAGACTTGGTGATCAATGACCTAAGGGCCTCAATAGATGCTTTGACCGGGAAGCTCACAACTGCGCCGATCAACGGACATGAAACTGTAAAGCACCTTCTTGCCTGGACCCTCAAATCGCCGAGGTCATCGCTTACGACGAATAGCTCCAGAGATTCCAACTTCATCTCAGAATCATCATCAGCAGCATGAGCATCATCATCAGGAGTCAGAGTCAGAGTCATCATGATCAGAGTCATCATGATCATGAGCATCATCATCAGCAGCATCATCAACAGCATCATCATCATCAGCATCATCATCGTCATCATCATCACCACCATCATTGTCTGCATGATTCCCTACCTAGGCTCTGACTAGAAGGGTTCTTACTCTCTTTGCTTAAAGGGGCCGGGCAGTGGAACGCGCCCCGGGCGGTTCCCCCAGCATCCGCCCCGCGGTTCCCCCAGTTCCGTCCCCTTAGCTTAGCGTTGCATATCTCATCTTAGCTTAGCCTAGCTTAACTTAGCTTAGCTTAGCTTAGCCTAGCCTAGCTTAGTTTAGCTTAGCTTAGTTTAGCTTAGCTTAGCTTAGCTTAGTCTAGCTTAGCTTAGCTTAGCGCAGCATTAGCATAGCATAGCATAGCATAGCATAGCATAGCATAGCATAGCGCAGCATAGCATAGCGCAGCATAGCATAGCATTGCATAGTATAGCATAGCGCAGCATAGCATAGCATAGCATAGCTTAGCTTAGCATAGCACAGCACAGCACAGCACAGCACAGCATAGCATAGCATAGCATGCCATACTCAACGGAGCATTCTCAAGCACACCGGTGAGCGAATGCGAGAACATGTGTGTGTGTCTGTGCGCAGGCAAAGCAAAAACAAAATCAAGAAAAAGCAAGAACAAAAGCAAAGCAAAAGCAACAGCGAAAGCAAAAGCAAAAGCAAAGGCAAGGCAATGCAAAAACAAGCCCAATGCGAAAGTGTAGATGTAGATGTAGATGTAGATGTAGATGTAGATGTAGATGTATATTAGATGTAGATGTAGGTGTAGGTGTAGGTGTAGGTGTAGGTGTAGGTGTAGGTGTAGGTGTAGGTGTAGATGTAGATGTAGATGTAGATGTAGATGTAGATGTAGATGTAGATGTAGATGTAGATGTAGATGTAGATGTAGATGTATGTAGATGTAGATGTAGATGTAGATGTAGATGTAGATGTAGATGTAGATGTAGATGTAGATGTAGATGTAGATGTAGATGTAGATGTAGATGTAGATGTAGATGTAGATGTAGATGTAGATGTAGATGTAGATGTAGGTGTAGGCGTAGGTGTAGGTGTAGGTGTAGATGTGAGTCTCGCTGTTGATGTTGATGTAGATGTAGATGCAGGTGCAGCTGTTAATGTAGCTGTCGGTGTAGATGTAGATGTTGCTTTCCTGGATGCTCCAACTCCTAGGTAGGGTCGCACTGGGATAATCGTCAACCTCATCATCATCATCATCATCATCATCATCATCATCATCATCATCATCATCAGCAGCAGCACCATCATCAACAAAACCAGCATGTTCTTCAGTATAACCATCGTCGTCGTCGTCATCGTCATCGTCATCGTCATCATGATCAGCAGCAGCAGCAGCAGCAGAATCATCATCATCCTCAGCCCCCATCCCTCCCTCGCCGCGGCTCTGCCCCCGCGACCTCGCCTGCTGGGCAGCTCTTCATGCCGAACTCCATGGGCGTCTCCTCCTCCTCGTCCTCGAAGGAGTCGATGAACCTGCCGTGCCCGCGGGGGTGCGCCCTCGCGTCGTCGTCGTCGTCGTCCTCGTCCTCGTCCTCGTCCTCGTCCTCGCCCTCGTCGTCGTCGTCGTCGTCATCGTCATCGTCGCACGGCCCGCCAGACTTGGGACCCCCGGGCCTCGCAAACAACCACGGCGAGCACCTCGGACCTCCGAGAACACCCCTGGGGTATGATAGGAGGCAACTCCTGGGAGGCCTTCGCCAGAACGAAAATGAAGGGCGATTAAGCGCGAGTCAGGGGCCTCTGAGCTGGAACGGGTCAGATTAAGCTCAGGATCAAGCTGTATCAAACGGGATTAAGCCCGATTTGTTCTAGACGAATCCAGATGTAGCGGGATTAAACTGGATTAAACCAGCATTCGACCAGTGACAAACCAGCGCCGATTCAGAATCCCAGCAGCCCTCTGGGCGTAGGTGGTTTAACGAATGTTGGCGGCCCCTCCTTCCCCTGAGGGCTTGATCTCTATTTCCCTATAATATACACCCCTCCTCCAGGCGACCGGCAGCCAACCAGGAACAATGAGGACCCCATGATGACACCACACACGCTCTGCCTCCAAATTCGGAGCATGCGCAACCAACCTGATGCGGCCCCCTCCCACCATCCCTGCCAATTCGTTCTTTCAAAGTACACTTTGTGGCAAAGTCTGAAGTCGTGTTCGTGAGGCCCGCGAGCACTTTATTTTGTATTGCTTTTGTGACAGGGACAGCGGGTGTGTCAGCATATTGCCTGCTGTGCGCAGGGCCACCATCCCGGACAAAAAACAACACAAAATGCACCCCGCAGTCAAATCTGGACCATGCGCGGCCACCCCGCGATCACTGTCAAGTGGTTTTTGACAGGGACGGCGGGGGTGGTGGCGTATGGACTGCTGTCCGCAAGCCCGCCAGACAATGATGGGCATTGGTGTTCGACAATCACGGTGGGGGCCGACATGTTTTCCGATGTGTGCTGTCACGTGCGCAGGCGCACATGACCCGAACGTGGCGCACCTGGCGCGGCTGGAGTATGCGGCACACCTGGCCGCCACGCGGAGACAAGTGGGGAGTCTGGCACAGCAAGCGTGCCAGGCACGCTCGGGCCCTAGGGGTGCCTGGCGCGCGTGGCGCGCCTGGCACGCGTGGCGCACCTCGCCCCAGCGTCGCGTACATGGGCTCGCTGTTGGTTCCCAGTAGCTGCCCATCCAAAGACGATCGCTGAGCATGCCGAGGCTGGAGTGCGACTTGGGTGTGGGGAGGGCGCGTGGGAGTGAGCTAGACGACTTGCTGGCAAGGAGGGTGCCTTGACCCCTCCCTCTACCCCCTCCCCTTGGTCTGGACAGGGCGCCCCGCGAGGGGTCAGAGCGTCCAAGATGGCTCCAAGAGGGCCTCAGAGAGCCCAAGGTGGCCTCCAAGATGTCTCGAGATAGCTGCCGACATATCTCCAAGAGGCTCCAAGACAGCCCCAAGACGGTTTCAAGTGCCCTACGAGCCTCCAAAGGAAGCCCCCAAGAAGCAAAAAAGGCTCCAACACCTGCGGAAAGTCGGTGTGTTGTGACTTCTCGCATTTTCGCTTCCGATGGGCTCCTGAAGCCTCAAGATAGCCCCAAGACGGCCCAACAGAGCACCGAGAGGGGCCCAAGAGGGGCACAAGACGGTCTCAAGAGCGCCCAAGAGCGCCCCAACAGCGCCCCAAGAGCGCCCCAAGACGGCACAAAGACGCCATGTTTGAGACTCCCGGGGGGGGGGGCTGAATTTAGGACCCCGCTCTTTTTGAACAGCAGGGCCCAAAATTGCCCCAACAGGTCTCCGAGACCCCCCCGGAGTCCCAAGAGGGCCCCATAGACCCCCCCAAAGAACCCCAAGAGGCCCCAAGTGGCTCCGCGAGGACCCCAAGAGAGATACACTGCATGTTTCTACACTTCCCTGATCAAGGCAACTCGCCTGGCGATTTGTTTCTGGATGGGCTGGTGGGCGCGAAGCGTCAAGAATTCAACCTCCCGAGAGTTGCCTCCCAACATGAGGATATGCTCACCTTCGGAAGGCGAGAGGTAACGAGGTACGGATAGCCTCTCTGAGTGGCTTCACCATTCGCTTTCCTGCATGAACGGAACACGCCTTTCCGAGGAGTCCCAAAATCCCTTTCCATGCCCCGTCCCTCTCTTCGCTGCCATGCCCGCATGTCCCAGTGCCTCTTAGCGCCCCTCGCGCGGGATACCACAGCGCAGTTCACGCTCGCGTAGCCCGATTGTTCTTACTGGCTGTTGCTTTGCCGCAACGATGGAGGGAAGAAATCTCTTGTCCACCCTTCTTACCCTGAACTCGCACTCACAGCAAGCACTCCTGCAGAAACTTCTGGCCTGTGCCCGAGTCCTACCCGCAAAGTCACCCCCCGAGTCAAAGTCACTTTCAACCAGCCTTCGAACATGACAGTTCTACCACCAGAGGCTCAGAAAAAGCCTATGAAAGAAAAAAAAAAAAAAAAAAAAAAACTCAAAAATAGCCCGAAAAAGTATCAACAAATCGTCTCCAGACTATGCTTTGGACTATTTTGGAATATGCCTCCTGTAGAGGGATTCGCCCGACTGAACCCCGGCTGTCCTTGGGAGGCTCAGATGGCCTCCAGAGCACCCCTCCCGAGGGCGAGAGGGCGCCCCCTGGGGGCTCCAGAACGGCACGAGAAGCCGCGGGCGCCCGGGGCCAGGACCACCCCTGGCAGCCCCCGACGCAGGCGTGCGAGTGGGCGGCCGCGGGGCCCGAGCTGGATACGCCCGGAGAGGAGCTGCCCAAGAGGGGGGGCGTACGGGCGACGAGCAAAGAAGAGGTCTTACGCAAGACGACACGGCGACCTCACGCCGCGGCCTACGCGAACCGCCAGCGCGGAACGCTGCATTGGAAACGAGGGCGCTTACGCGCGACCTTACGCGGGGAGCTCATGCGCTAACGTCGGTGAATACGACCCCAATGCAGTCCTCTGCGTCGTTCATACGACCGGAACCAGCGCTGGGCCACCTCAACCCCACAGCTGGCTCTTGGGGAAACCAAGAAGTACCGGCACCGCTACTCCTCATCCCCTGAGCTCGAGGTCCACAAAGGATGACCTCTTCCTCCTCTGAGCTCCACCGTGCGAGTGACGCTTTGATGTTTCTGCTCCGTCGGCTGTCCTGGGCCCCAGGCCTCCCCCTGCTCGAGGCGCCGCACATTCCTCAGGGCCGGCACCAGCGCATTCGAAAAATCTGAGCCTTCATGGGAGCCTCGCAGACACTCGCGGCCCTATCGTAAGGTGATTCCGACAGGAGGCCGTCCAGACTTCGACCACCCCTCTTTACCCTTTCGTCCAGATTTCGTCTAGGTTTCGTCCGAATATCGTCCAAACATCGACCAAATCCAACGAAATCCAAACGGAATCTACAAAACCGCGAGGGATTTGGGGACCCTCTGAGGCTCCCATGAATGACCACAACACTGTGGCTTCGGAGAAGGCTTGGAAAGCGTCTCCGAAGGTCCGATGCCTTCTGAGCCTTCTGAGGAGGCCCGCCTCCCCTACCTTCCTACCTTCCCCCTTGGGCGCGCCGCCGAAAAATAGCCCTGATGGCGTAGCGGGGCAGCCCCTGGACCAACACCAAAGCCGAGGTCGGCGTTCACGCGGTACCGGTCCGCTCGCGCTGTGGGAGTGGCGGCAGTGGCACATCAGAGCTTGCGTGTCGGGAACTGTTGCTTAGCGTGTCGCGGCGGCGGCCCCGGCAACACGCCATGCCCTGTAAGCAGATAATGTGTGTCGCTCCGCTCCGCGGGGCTGCAGGCTGGGGAAAACTCGAAACGTTGACCCTTCGGGACTGGGACATCGATAGCGTGTCGCGCCGACGCGCGGTGGGCCATAACTCGCGATGCGACACGCCGAGCCAACACTCCCGACCGTATTCCACCTGACACGCTGTTCACAGCACCTTCGAGTGGGGCGGCACGGAAACGCCCGCCCTCCTACCCAAGTACACCACATTCTCTCCAGCCTCGCTTCCCAGCACTCAGCACCCGCTGCAGGGGGCGAACCGCGCCATTACTGACCAACACCCAGAGCCGTCAGCGCATGTGAAGGGCAACGTTAGGGAGGATCCAGCTCAGGGGGAGAAACATCGACCTTGAATCGGCGATACATCGCCGATAGAGCGCCGATACGCCTCCGATGGCGAATCCGCACGGCATAGGGCGGGGTGGAGGAATCGGGCCCCTACCCGCGATCAGCGGACGATTGGGGGCCGATCCAAGATCCTGAGCCTACCCCCCCCTAACGTTGCCCCTGAGTCTCTAACGCTACCCCTGAGCATGGGGGACAAAGAAGGTACCGATACTGCTGCTTCCCGGGCCTCTCGCAGGAAGCGTTCTGGCCAGGATTTCGAGGCGAATCCAGCCATGGTGACGAGGACTCTCCAGGACGAGTCGCGGTATTGGTGTCCCTTCCTGCTCTGAGATACCGGAGAAAAAACCCAATCAGGGATATAGGGCCAGGGGGCTATAGGGCTATAGGGCTATTGAGCTATAGGGCTATAGAGCTGTAGGGCTATAGAGTTGTAGGGCTATAGGGCTATTGGGCTATAGGGCTATAGGGCTATAGGGCTATAGGGCTATAGGGCTAATAGGGCTATAGGGCACCCCCGGGCACCCCCGGGCACACCCTGGCACGCCCAGGCACCCAGGCACCGGGGCACCCGGGCTCCCGGGCACCCCCGGGCACCCCCCCGGCACCCTGGCGCGTAGCGAAAATCGGCGGCCAACCTCACCCCCGGGCACCCCCGGGTACCCGGGCATCCGGGCGTGCGGCGAAAATCGGCGGCAAACCTAACCTAACCATATGATACCGGAGAAAACCCCCCATCATAATATTTTTAGGGCTGTAGGGCTATGGGGCTATACGGTTATAGGACTATAGGGCTAGGGCTATGGGACTATAGGGATATAGGAACATAGGGCTATAGGGCTACAAGGCAATAAGGCTATAGGGCTGTAGGCCCATAAGGGCTATAGGGTCATAGCGCTATAGGGCGATTGGGCTATAGGGCATAAGGACTATAGGGCTATAGGGCTATAGGGCCGATAGGGCTATGAATCCGCTAGGACCCCTACAGAGGCAAGCTCTGATTGGGGAAACACAGATATAAACTTGCGGAGGTCCGCGCGGCTTTCATGGATGGGGCTATAGGGCCCCCTCCAGGGGCGGCGCCAGAGGCGCCGCCAGGGGGATCCAGCGCAGATCCGAGAAAACCGCACAGACCGTCGAAGGGTAATGTTTACGCAGCTTCTCTTTTCGAGCATCGGTATCCTCTACCCTTCTGAGAGCAGCGATCCTCGCGGAAAAAGCCTCCCCCCCAGTGGACGTGTTCTTCACCCTGTACTGGTAGAGCTCGTCTTGTGGCAGCGGCACCTTCCGGGGTTCCGAGAACATCCCCCGGCGCATCGGCGCAGGGTCCGCGTCGTCCTCCTCCGGCTCGGCGAACATCCCCCGGCGCCGAGCCGCCCAGGCGCCTGGAGGAGCGACAAAAGAGGCAGATAGTTAAAATTGACGGTAAGGCTGCGCGGTAAGGATGCAAGCCCCTTGGACGCCCACGTCGAGGATTTACGGGCGGGGCTGGCCATCGAGAGTGGCTAGGGATGGACCAAAGAGGCAAGGATGCGAGGGTACCCTTGGGCAGCCATCTTTATCATCGATTTCGACTGTAAGCACAAACTGGCAGAGGCCCGCGCGGGTTCCCTGGATCGGCGCTGGACCCCCCTCGCGGCGCCTCCGGCGCGGCCCCCGGCGCGCTCCGCGGGCCAGGGAGGGGGGCCTAGCGCAGACCGACGAACTCCGCGCGGACCTCCGATCGAGAACTACGGTTGGCTATGGAAAGATGTCGTGCAATGTCGATCTCCGAAGGGCACGCTGTCCGTGTGAGGCGGTCGCCCCGCGAGGGCCCCGCTCTGTGGAAACGCTGCGCCCCTGCCGGGGCGCCCTCGGTGCACGCTCTCCCCAAGCTGGGGGGTGGCGCGGCATGAACGGGCCCGCGGTGCCACATCGCTCGCTATCTCTTCAGTGCCAACCGTGAGCTTCTCCCGCTGCTGTGCGCCGTCGTCGGGCTCGGCGAACATTCCCCGGCGCATCATCATGGTCCCCGGCAGGCCGGCCGACCCCGCAGGCCTCCCACAGCTGGAGGCGTTGGGCAGGCTGCCCGGCATCGGCTGCACCGTCCCCCGAAGCTTCGGTGCCCCGCTCGGTCCCAGTCCTCCTCGGCCGCGCCTGCTCCTCCTCCCTCCTCCGTGCCCCCTCCTCTACATATACCTCCTCTTCCTCATCCTCGATGCTCGATGCTGCGGATCGGATTGCCACGAGGCCTCCTGCTTCTCCTCCTCCCCTCTCCTTCTCTTGCCTCCCTCTTACTCCTCCACAGGGATTCGGGCAAGCCGAACTTTTCTGCGGCACGCCATCCACACCCGACCCACCCACACTGCGCTCACGACCCGCTGCACAACTCGCCCGCCGACCCGCCGAAGACCCATCCGCTACCCACCCAATTTGCTTTGAAGAAGCTGCGCCCGCGGCGAGCTCACCATATTGGAAAAAAAACGCCTGCTGCACGCTTCTTCGCGTCTGCACTGGAGCGTCGCAAACTGCCGACACGCCCCGCCCCCTCACTCGTATCCGAAGCTGCTGGGGCAATGGTGCATATCATCAGAACTCCGTTCTCCTCCTCCTCCTCCTCCTCCTTCTCCTCCTCCTCCTCCTCCTCCTCCTCCTCCTCCTCCCTCCTCCTCCTCCTCCCTCCTCCTCCTCCTCCTCCACCTCTTCCTCCTCTTCCTCCTCCTCCTCTTCATCCTCCTCCTCCTGCCCTCCTCCCGAGCCTCCTCCTCCTCCCTCCTCCTCCTCCTCCTCCTCCTCCTCCTCCTCCTCCTCCTCCTCCTCCTCCTCCTCCTCCTCCGCATCATCATCAGCCTCAGCTTCAGCCTCAGCATCATCAGCATCAGCATCATCATATGTATCATCATCACCATCATCATCATCATCATCATCATCATCATCATCATCATCATCATCATCATCATCATCATCACCATCGTCGTCGTCATAATCATCATCATCATCGTCATCATCATCATCATCATCATCATCATCATCATCATCAGCAGCAGCAGCAGCAGCAGCATCATCAGCATCATCATCATCACCATCAGCATCACCACCATTATCATCACCACCACTATCATCAGCAGCAGCATCATCGTCATCATCAGTAGCATGATCAGCATCATCATCATCAGCAGCAGCATACACAGAATCATCATCATCGTCATCATCATCAGCATCAGCATCAGCATCATCATCAGCATCAGCATCAGCATCAGCAGCATCATCATCCTCATCAACAGCATCAGCATCAGCATCAGCAGCATCATCATAATCATCATCACCATCATCGTCATCAACATCATCAACAGCAGCATCAGCATCATCAGCATGATTATCATCAGCAGCATCATCATCATTGTCATCAGCATCGTCATCATCGTCAGCAGCAGCGGCACCAGCATCAGCAGCATCATCAGCATCAGCATCAGCATCGTCATCATCATCAGCATCATCAGTATCATCACAAGCATCAGTATCATCATCACCATCATCATCAGCAGCGTGATCATCATCTGAATCGTCATCAGCATCATCAGCAGCATAAGCATCACCGTCATCATAATCAGCATCACCACTACCATCAGAATCAGAATCATCATCATCAGCATCATCGTCAGCAACAACATCATCAGCATCATCAGCATCAGCATCACTATCAGCATCATCATCTTCATCCTCCTCCTTATCATCATCATCATCACCACCACCATCATCATCATCAGCATCATCAACAGCATCATGATCATCATTTTCATCCTCCTCATCCTTATCATCATCATCAGCAGCATAATCATAATCATAACCATTATCATCATCACCACCATCATCATCACCACCACCACGACCACAACCACCACAATCATCATCAGCATCATCATGTTGCTCCTCCTTACTTTTTCAAATTTGCGAACGTTTCACGGATAGAGGGTTGTTCCTTTTCAAAATGTGGCTCTTGCCCTAGCGCCGCGCACATTCTTTCAGAAAATTGCAAGAGTTTCACTGGATCTCATGGTCAACGTACCAGAAATTGTGCTTTGGAACAACTCAGCAGAACTGTCAGGGCGCAACAGTTACGTTCTTTCGCGGCGTTGAAGTCCCAGGAATGGAGTTCTGGCAAGATTCCGGATCGTCAAGACGCAACAGTCAAGTTGACTCGTGGCATTGAAGTCCTGAGAATGGTGTTTGGGCACGCGTCAGGATTTTCACACACACACACACATTGGGGCACTTCCCTCAGTGGAAATGAAAGACTGTAAGGGCCTAACAAGAGGGAGCTTGGAGGGAGGGTGTATTCCAACATCGTTGATGAGTCTTGGAATTACACTGGTCCTACTCCTCCTCCTCCTCCTCCTCCTCCTCCTCCTCCTCGATCCCTCTTCCCTCCTCCTCTACCTCCTTCTCTCTTCCTCGGATAGTGGGACATCTTTTGTTTTCATGAGATAAGTTCAGCCACCTGGGAGGGACCCGGGGTTACCTGGGGGCGGGCGCCCGCGGATGACCTGACCGTTCCGCTCTGGGCAGCTCGACCCGTTGCTGCCGCAGCGGCTTGGCACAGAGCGGCGGCCCTGCGAACATTCGCGCGGGCCCCGGGCGCGCTGGAAGCGCCCGATGAAGAGGATTACACTGCCCTTGCGACCGCCAGACCGCGAGGGAAACTGGGCCATGTCAGTACCACAGCAGTCTGCGAACGCCACGCGCACGCAAACACAGCGGTATGTTGGGCCCTGCGCTTCCCGCAACAGCCTGTGGATGCCACATTATGCCTGCGAGCAGCTTGGCGGCGAGCCCTGGGGGGAAGTGTGAGAAGGGGCGGCCCTTCTCAGAAGGCTCGGAAGACCTCCCGCCTGGTGAGAAGTTGTCTCTGCCTTGCCCGAAGACGCCAAAAAACCTCTCAGAAGGCGCGAGGGCTTCGGATAAGTCCCGCCGCCTTCTGAGAAGGCCTTCTCCTTCTCGTTCCCCCCCCCTCGCTCGCCGCCGAGCAACGGCAGTGTGCCGGTGAGCATCACAGCAGCCTCCGAACACCGCAGCGCGGTTGAGAGCACCAGTGCACCTGCGACCTCGAAGCGTCGGGGGTCTTCTGACCCGGGTCAATCCAGACCCGGGTCAGCAGGAAACCAAAAACTGCAATGCAGGAAAAAAAAACTGCACGACGCAGGTCTTCGCAAACCCGGGTCAGCCAATACGAGCGGCCGCCTCGCGGCCACGAGCGGCTCGGTAACCGGGGTCAGCCAGAGGGGGCCTTCGCAGGATCCTGCAGGATCTGGAATGCCACCCCACAGAAATATGTGGGACGCTACACCTGTCACAGCAATACAGAGTGGAGGACGAGAAGGAGGAGGACGACGAGGATCAACATCGGAAGCGATAGGGGGTGAGAGCGAGAAGGAGGAGGGGGAGGAGGAGGAGGAGGAGGAGGAGGGGGAGGAGGAAGACGACGACGCAGAGGACCCCCATCGGCGAGGGAAGCCAGGCCCGGTCGGTACCACAAAAAAAAAGCCTGCGAGCACCGCGCGTGTGCACAACGTGCAGGTCGGACCACGGCAGCGTCGCGCGGTGGCCCGAGAGCGCCACGGCATGCGCTCGAGCACCAGCAACGATCCACCTGTGGCCACCACGGGCTCGTGAGCACCACGACGTGCCTATGACGATAAGAGTACCGCTGTGCGCTCGAGACCAAGGGGTGGCAGGGAAACCAATACCCTGCCAGTGCCGCAGTGATCTGCGAGCGCCACGCGTGTGCGCAACTCTGTATATGCCAGACCCTGCCGATACCACGAGAGCTTGAGAACGCCACCTTGCGCCTGGGAAAAACAGCAGTGCGCCTGCGAGCACCACAGAGACCTGCGATCACCACGCCGTGCTTGAGAGTACCACAATGCACTTCCGACCACCAGACGACACGAGGAGGAGCAGGAGCAGAACAAGGAGGGAGTAGCAGCAACAACAGGGGATATGCAACGATAGAAGCGCCATGCGACATAACTTCCTGGGCCCACGAATCCGAAAATGGCGGGTTGGCTGGAAAAGGCCAAAATCATTCTGCAACATAAGCATGTTTGTGACTCCCGCGGCCTCCCGTGCCCTTCACCCCATTGTGCAAACGACACTTTCGAGGAAGACTAAGCACAACGGGAAACAATGGTGTCTGCCAAGATCACCCCAACACTTGCCTACAAGGTTCTCTACTCCATACCTGTACACGGGCTGCTGCTTTCCGTGAAAGCTCGGATTTGAGGCTGCTCGTTGCGTACCGATACTCTCGTGTGTCATATCTGCCGCACTACTTGCGGCCACAACCGCGCCCATGCACACCACAGCGCTCGTGAACGCCTCCGGGGCGTGGTCGCCGAAGCGCCTACGAGCACCGCCGCGCCTACGCATGACAACCACAGTTCGTGCGAGCACCACCACGATGGGCGCGAGAACTTCGGCGGGGACTCCAGACCAGGTCCGCAGCGCCTGAGAGCACCGCCACGCCTACAAACAGGACAATGCCTCCGAACCACCGCGCTTCCTCTCCTCCTCCTCCTCCTCCTCCTCCTCCTCCTCCTCCTCCTCCCTCCCTCCTCCTCCTCCTCCTCCCTCCTCCTCCTCCTCCTCCTCCGCCTCCTCCTCCTCCTCGTTCTGGTCCTCCTCCTCTTCCTCCTCATCCTCCTCCCTCCTCCTCCCCTCCTCCTCCTCCTCCTCCTCCCCCTCCTCCTCCTCCTCCTCCTGCTTCTCCTCCTCCCCCTCCTCCTCCTCCTCCTCCTCCTCCTCCTCCTCCTCCTCCTCCTCTTCCTCCTCCTCCTCCGCCGACTAAGAAGAGGGCGTGGACTATACATCGACACCGACCTTTGGGTGCTGCAGAGGTGGTCCTGGCCCAAGGTGTCCCCAGCCACCCGCGCCATGTTGGGCCCTCTGGGTCTCGCGAGGGGGGCCCTGAAGCCCTCTGCGCCTCCCTGGCGAGAAGATGGGATCACCCTGGGCCAAGGCCACCTCTGCCGAGCCCCGAGACCTGGTGCCGGCGTATAGCTGGCGCTCCCCAGCCCAGCCGCCTGCTACAGCTGCCGCGGGGCCCCCACGGGCGGCGGAGCCTGCTGGATATATAATAATCTGGCGGCGGGGGCCTCGGCGATGGCGGTGGCGAGGGCTGCCGCCGACAAATCACCAGCCCTCGAGCCAGAGCAAGGACTGCGGCATGAGCGCGAGCCCCTCGCGCACCCCTGCTCCTGCCCCGCCTGCCCCGCCTGCCTCTCCCGCCACGTCCTGCGCTCGCCTGCGGCCCCCTGCCGCCCTCCCTTGAGGGAGAACAGGAAGGGGGGGACCAGCTCAGTGGGGGGGGGGGGGGGCACACCGACCTGGAGTCGGCGACCCCTCGCCGACCGATCGGCGACAGGCCCCCGAGGGCGCGAAACCGCTCGTTCCTGGGCGGGGCGGGCTGCCGGGCGCCTGTCGGCGATCTGTGGGCGATGGCGGGTCGATGCGTCCCCTCCCCCCCCCCCGGAGCCTATCCCCCCCTCGCGTCGTCCCCGCCCTCCGGGTCGCACCTCGGCTCGCCGGCGGCCGGACGATCCGGGCACCCCCGGGACGCCCTCGGCGAGGCGCAGCTTCTGGAAGGCACCCCGCGGCTGGAAGCCCGCCGACCACCAACGAAAATGCCCAAAAAAACCCTCGAACCCCCAGCATCGAACCGATCCAACCTCCCCCCTGACTCGGGGGCGCGTTGACATGGATTAGCAATCAATGGATTTGGCGCGCGGTCGCCAAATCCATGGATCGGGGGAGGTGCCCTCCCCAAAATGCGGCCCGTGCCGCCTCGCTCGGCGGCGGAAATCCGCGATTTCCCATGGAAACGAGACCCGTCGCTAATCCACGCCCCCTTGATCCACGCTTGCGATCGCCTGACTAACGCTACCCCTAACGTTCCCCCCCCCTAACGTTGCCCCTGGCTTCTGCCTCTGCCGCCACGTCCTGGTTCCTCTGCGGCCCTCGGCCGCTCCCCCCTCCCCGGCCCCATCGCCGCGCCCCCCCCCACCCAACCCCCGCGCCATTAGCAAAGGCGAACCGAGGGAGATGTGAACCTTCAGCAAGTCAGAGAGTCAGAGGAGGAGGAGGAGGAGGAGGAGGAGGAGGAGGAGGAGGAGGAGGAGGAAGAGCAGGAGGAGCAGGAGAAGCAGGAGGAAGAAGATCGAGGAGCTTGGGGACGGGCCTGAAGCCGTGCAATCCATGATGTCAGCCGGAGTCATCGGCGTCCGAGTCAGACTCGCCATCCTCGTCAGGCGACGCCCAGGTCGTGACCCCCCTCGAGCCCAGGAGGAGGATCGAGGAGAAGGAGGAGGAAGAGGATCGAGGATCGAGGATGGAGGTGGAGGAGGATCGAAGCTGGACGGCACAGGATTTTGGGACGCCTCTGGCCCCTCCCCGTGGGGCCTCTGGCAGGGCCCCCCGGGGAGCGGAAGCGGCAGCGGGAGGTGGGGTCGGAGGAGGAGTACGCTCAGGAGCGATCTTAGCGAGTGGGCGACGAAGAGAAACGTCACGTGATCTTAGCGAGTCATCTCAGCGAGCGGGCGCCAAGCCGAACCACGTTTGTGGCCCCGCGTGCGGCAAGCCCAGCACGATCCGAAATCCACCGAGGCGCGCCTGCGCGATAGCGGAGCGGTGGGATGCCGGTCGGTCGTCTGCTGGTGCTTCTTCCTCCCAAGCGTCCAGTGGTGCTGGGTCCTCGTTTTGAGAAGACTGCGCCCCGCGTCCTCCCTCCTCCCTCCTCCCTCATCCTCCCTCCTCCCAGCCGTGCCTCTGCCCTCCGCATGCCTCTGTTCCGGGACACTCCTCACACGCTTCGTGGCCGCGTGGAGGGGGCGCCACCGAAGGCCCCATGTGACAATGCTGGCATGCGGTTCTCCGCCCGCTTCGACACGCTCCTCACACGCTTCGTAGCCCCACAGGGAGCCTTCACCGAAGGCCCCCAGTGGCAGTGCTCGCATGCGGGCCCCCACACATTTCGGTACACCCGTCACACGTTTCAAGGCCCCATAGGGAGCTGCGCCAGAGGCTCCAATGGCAGGATTCGCATGCGGTTCCCCGCCCATTCCGACACACTCCTCACACGTTGCGTGGCCATACAGGGAGCTCCAGCGACGGGTCCAGTGGCAATGCTCGCATGCGGTTCCCCGCCCATTCCGACACACCCCATCACACATTTCGTGGCCCCATAGGGGGCTCAACCGAAGGCCCCAATGGCAGGGTTCGCATGCGGTTCCCCGCCCATTCCGGCACACTCCTCACACGTTGCGTGGCCACAAAGGGAGCTGCACCGAAGGCCCCAGTGGCAGGGTTGGCATGCGGCTCCCCGCCTCTTTTTGACACACTCTTCACACGTTTCCTGGCCCCAGAGGGAGCTCCACCGAAGGCCTCAGTGGGAGGGTTCGCATGCGGTTCACCGCCCATCCGACACAACCCTCACGTTTCGTGGCCCCGCGGGAACTCCACAAAAAGCGGTACCACAACGCAGTACTCACAACTGCGTATGGTTGGGTAGTCTTACTACCAGTATTAAATGTCGCCGTAGATTCATTATTATGCGTGTTGCTAATAGAAAATAGGGCTATTCCTGACTAGAAAATGTGTTGTAATGCTAGTAGTATCCAGCATCTTACTGTTCAAACTGATATGATGCTGAATTAATACGATCATCATCATCATCATCATCATCATCATCATCATCATCATCATCATCATCATCATCATCATCATCATCATCATCATCATCACCACCACCACCCTAATCATCATCAGCATCATCAGCATCATCAGCATCATCAACAACCTCAACATCAGCATCAACAGCATCAGCATCGTCATCATCATCATCATCAGCATCGTCACCATTATCATCAAAATCATCATCCAAATCAGCATCATCATCGTCAGCATCACAATCAGCATCAACATCATCTTCACCAGCAGCATCAGCATCATCATCACCATCATCATCATCATCATCATCATCATCATCACCAGCATGATCATCATCATCATCATCAGCAGCATCATCATTGTCATCAGCATCAGCATCAGCATCAGCATCAGCATCAGCATCAGCATCAACATCAGCATCATCAGCAGCAACAGCAGCAGCACCAGCATCAGCATTATCATCATCACCATCATCAGCAGCAGCAACAGCATCAGCATCAGCATCATCATCAGCAGCAGCAGAAACAGCATCAGCATGATTCATAGTAGCTTCCGTATTGTTGTTATTGGTTTTGATCGTCCTTCCACCCCCCACCCCACCAAACACCGCACGCATCCTCCGAAAACCGCCCCCCTGCCTCTGGAGGACCCTGGAGGTTAAACATGAAAACTATCCTCGATCCTGGAGCGTTTCCCCTGGGCTTTCGGATCATAATTCGGCTCTCCAGCGGCCGTTCGGGACGATCTGGGCACCCCCGGGACGCTCTCGGCGAGGCGCAGCTGCTGGAAGCCACTCCGAAGATGGAAAGCCGCCGAGAACCAGCGAAAACGCCCGAAAACCTCGAACGTCGAGCTGAGTGCATGATGTGTGAGAGTGCTGTTAAGACAGGTTCCGCCCGATTTGGACCTATTAGTGTCTATCAATGTCCCTATCAGCGCCAATTAACGCCAATTAGAGCCTATTGGCGCCTGCTGGCGCCTATCAGTGCCTATTAGCGCCTACTAGCGCGTACTACCAACCACTAGTAAGCAGTAATACAAAAGTCGATAGCCGGGAAAGGCAACATCTCATGCTTAAAAATACTCTCACGCATAACACACACCTAGGAAAGACCTCCTGTAAGACGGAGGGACACATCGGGAACCTCCGAGAGCTACATCGGGAACCTCCGAGAGCAAACGGGCCCAGAATAGTTATCAGGCGCCGCGGCCACTCCAGAGCGCTCCGAGAGCGCTCCGAGAGCGCTCTGAAAAACAGCCACCCTTGTCCTAGGACTGCCAGATCCCGGCTCCCTAAGATCCGACGTTACGAAAAAGTTGAAACGTCTCGAAAAATCACGACCAGAACCCCAGATCGATCTTTCTGCTGCACTTTTCGGGCTGGATCGATCTGTGAGGATCCCAGGGACCGAAACCCGACAAAAACGCCCGAGCGCTCCGGAGCGCTCGAGTCGATCCTCCCCCTCCTCCTCATTCTGCTCCTCCTCGTCCTCCTCCTCATCCTCCTCCTCCTCCTCCTCCTCCTCCTCCTCCGCCTCCTCCTCCGCCTCCGCCTCCTCCTCCGCCTCCGCCTCCTCCTCCTCCTCCTCCTCCTCCTCCTCCTCCTCCTCCTCCTCCTCCTCCTCCTCCTCCTAGTCCCATACTCATCCCAGGCCTACCCAGGCCTCCCCTGGCCTCCCCAGACCCCCTGTTTCCCTGCGTTCTGGCTCCCCTGTGTGAAAGCGCTGCTTCTTTCAACCAGCTGAGAATACACTGCTGCTTTGCCCACCTGCCACGAACTATCCGACGGCCCAGAGGAATCTGGGAGCACTGGGAGCTGTGAGCCCTCTGGGCAAGAATGATTACGGCCACTTCGCTCAGCGCGCGCGCGCGCCCGCGCTCGCGCGCGGGCACTCGCCGGCGGGGCCTTCGGGCTGCGACCGCCCTGGCGGCCTCGGCCCTGCAGGCTGGCTCCCGCGAGGGAGACGGTGGCCTCCGCTTGCGGGGGCGCCGGCGGCGAGGTCCAGCCGAGCGGAGGGCGACCATGCTCCTGAAAGCCATCGTCATCATTATCCTCCTCCTCCTCCTCCTCCTCCTCCTCCTCCTCCTCCTCCTCCTCCTCCTCCTCCTCCTCCTCCTCCTCCTCCTCCTCCTCCTCCTCCTCCTCCTCCATTCCTCTTCCTGTTAAACAAGAGGCACGCGTGCCAGTGGGGCGTCTCTGGGGCTGATTGGGGGTTTTGTGTGGGCCCGTCTGGGGCTCATTTGGGCTGTCTTGGGGCAACTATCATGGGGCCTCTTTGGCCCATCGTGGGGACTCGGGGGGATCCAGGGGCACGGCCACAGCGGGGGGGGTACGGTCGGTCGGTCGGAATAAGCAGACGGGGGGGCCGCGGGGCGGAAGGGGCGGGACAGGGGGGTGGCCGGGGAGAGGGGAGGGGGGGCACGGTCGGTCGGCGGGGGCCACAGGGCGGAGGAGGGAGGCACGGTCGGTCGGTCGGTCGGAATAAGCAGACCGGTG